TTTTTTTTTCAGTTTTTGGCCGGGGCTGGGTTTGAACCCGCCACCTCCAGTATATAAAGGCCAGCGTCCTACTCCTTGAGCTACAGGCGCTGCCCTACTTTTTAATGTCATCCAAGAGGTTTGAGATGATAGCTCCATGTGGCTTCAGAAGACCCTGAAACCCAAAATGATGGGAGAGGTCCGTGAGGGTCACGAGGCTGTTGAATGGTATATTTGCAAGTGAATCACATTACTGAGTCTTTAAAGATTAACACTTAGTGTTGCCATCAAGACTTTGCAGTCGGGTGGCACCTGTGGCTCAAAGCAGTAGGGCGCCGGCCCCATATGCTGGAGGCGGTGAGTTCAAACCCAGCCCTGGCCAAAAAAAATAAAAAGACTTTGCAGTCAAGTAAGGTACCAAGCCTTTGGGTATGTGTGTAAAGAGTCATCTAGAAGACCTATCCCACTCCTAGAGGAATATAGAATTTTTTCCTTTTAAATATATACTATGCATTATCTGGTAAATTAGGAAACTTTTGTTGATGTTAAGGAAGGAAATATAGATGTGTGATCCTAAAATAAGTACCACAGACTTTGGAGCTGGACAGACCTGGGTCAGACCTTGGGTTTCCACTTGTAAGCTGTGTAGCCTTGGACTCTTGAGTCTCAGGGGTTTTTTGCAGTTTTGTTTTTTTTTTTTTTTTTGGCTGAGGCTGGGTTTGAACACACCACCTCCAGCATAAGGGGCCAGCACCCTACTCCTTTGAGCCACAGGTGCCCCCCGAGTCTCAGTTTTCTAGTCTGTAAAACAAACTTTCTATAAATCAAGCAGTTTGCTGGCAATATGAAATGAAATACAGGCGGCACCTGTTGCTCAGTGGGTAGGGTGCCGGCCACATACACTCAGGTTGTCAGGTTCGAACCTGGCCCAGGCCAGCTAAACAACAATGACAACTGCAACAAAAAATAGCCGGACATTGTGGTGGGCGCCTGTAGTCCCAGCTACTTGGGAGGCTGAGGCAGGAGAATCACCTAAGCCCAAGAGTTAGAGGTTGTTGTGAGCTGTGATGCCACAGCACTCTACCCAGGGTGACATAGTGAGATTCTGTCTCAAAAAAAAAGAAAAAAAGTTAGATAAATAAAAATGAAACATAAAACATTGTCAAGCAACTAATACAGCTTCTGGCGCATTGTACATGCTCATGGGTGGCTGATGGTGGCATGGATGGTCGGTCGGTGATATCTTCCGCGTGTGCTGTGACTCTGAGCTTATAGTGCAGGTTTTCCGTGGTGATTTGTAGGAAAAAAGGTTTCCTGGGGTTGAGGGAGGGATGAACTCCTTGACCACACATCAAAAGACATTCTCGCTAAATATAATTGCCAGGCAAACACATAGCTATATTGGACCAGTCGACCTAGCCCCAGTAGGAAAATGACCCACATGTATGTTTTGCAAGGATTATTTCTTCCTGCCCACTCTGACTGTGTGTTGGACCCTGGCCTGTTGCCTCACTGTATTGGGTGGCCCGTGGGAGCACAAGTGCTATTTGCTTTTTCTTTTAAAGAGCACAACACGGTAGGAGAGAGAAACTGGGTATCATCAGACCTAAACCCTAACTATAACTGTGGTGCTGACTGAATCTGTGTTATTGAACTGGTGAGCCTTGGGGCTCTGGTCTAGACTACTATGATTCAGTCACTAAGCCATTTCTTTGCTCCTGGTCGATTTTAAATGCCAGTTCCCTCTCAACACATATACACATGCAGTTGATCTGGTGAATTCCCAATCATTCGTCAGAACCGAGCTCAGATGGCCCTTCCTCTCATTCATACATTTATTCCAGCAAGAATTTTTCGAGAGCATGCTATGTGTTAGATGCGGGGGCTGTAACACTGGACCAAACAAAGCCTCTGTGTCCCTGTAGCCCTGTGTCTACACTGGGATCTCTTCCCTCTGAGGTCCCTGGCCCAGTGACTTGTTTGATTGAATCGAAGAACAAATGCTTGCTTCTCTGGTCCTTCTTTGTCTGCTTAAGCAAATGACCCAAATCATACAACTCCCTAAAAGACACAGTGGGAATTTCAGGAGTGGTAGAGTTTCTATGGAGATGTTTCTATTAGCGTAAGAGCTACCAGAACTTGCCAGCCTTCCATAAAATGTAGGGATGTGATAGAAAGTTACAGACCTCCAAAGTTTGCAACCCTCCATGCTGGCAGCCGAGACTTTCCATTCTTGCTACTGTAATCGAGCAGGTAATGAAGAGAGTTCTGCACACAGCAGAACTGTGTGTGATGGGCCCCAGCGAGAATTCCCATGGACAGGAAGCACGTGCGTCTCCCTCTCACCTGCACTCAGGCCAGCAGACGTTTCCTGGCCATTGTTCGTGGAGGCTGCAGCAGCTCTGTTTCCGTCTACCAGCCAAGTGGAGCCGGAGCTGCCAGAGTGCTCTTCTGGGGCTGGCTTTTGTGTGCTGCTCACCCAAGCCACCGTGACCATCCACCCCTGTGGAGACAGTGGCAGACTCACGTGACCACATCTGTCTTATGCTCAGGGAGAAGACTTAGAAGAAGATTCTATTGGGAATCCACATGGCAGGTCTACTCATTTTGCTGTTTCTGGCCATTTTCCTTCTTTGCTGGTCCTCTTACCTTTGGGCAGTTCTCACAGGAGGAAGTAGCTGCTGCGTATTAAGGTACCCAGGCAGGACTTGGGGTGTGGCCACCCCTGGCTGAGAAATACAAATCTGTTATCCCCCAAATTCATTGGGAAGACATTCCACGGACAAAAGTCTTGGGAGCGCAGGAGAACTTTGGGATCATGTGGGGGCCTGGCTGTGTGTATGTTCCCTCAGCCTGTTGTTTATTTTCGCATTATGAGACTAAAGACTACAAATCTATTTTCAGCTACTAGTTAAACGCCGCAGGGTAGCTGGCCTGGCGGTGGCCATTTAGATGGCTGTGTGTTGATTAAAGAGCTCACTCTGCCCTCCCAGACCAAAAGGTATATCTGCAAGATGAAAGCAGGGAAGCATAGCAAGATTAAGCTGGATATTGGTAGTTTCTCTTTTTAGAAATTCAGGGCAGCAATTTCAGCTTCCACGTCTGTATTTATTGTGCCGTCACTCCTTCTGCGCGCTGTTTTTAGGTGAGTGGGACAAGGGGAAGGAGGACGGCGTTAATCATTTCATGGCGTAAACACTGTTCCAGACCCGTCTGCAAGAGGTGGTCAGTCATCAGAGGGCGGGAGCCTCAGAATGGCTCACACCCGCGGCCGTGCCTTCCGTCTGAACAGAATGGAAAAGGATCACAGGCAGAGCACTGCTCAGCTCTCCATCGCCTGTGTGGGGAGGGTGCTGTGTCCAGTGGTCTGGTCTGGTGGTGACACAGGGAGGGGGAGGGGTCAGGCTGAGCTCCAGGAAGGACAGGTCACAAATACAGCTCTCTGTTGTCCCTCAGCACTGGGTCCTGCCACCACGATGGTTCCAGCGGTTGAGCTCTGATGAAGCTGTTGCACCATGTACAGTGTAGAAGACCTGCTCATCTCTCATGGATACAAACCGTCGAGAGATCTCTCAGCACCGCGCGAGGATGACCCTGAGGGACGCCAGGCAGCAAGGACAAGGGCGCGAGCTGGCCACGGCCTGGTGAACGGGCACGAGGATGGTTCTGCAGCCTCCGCACATCGTAAGACGCCTGCAGGGAGAGGACATGTGAGTGACCCCGAAAGCCGCCGCCGCAGCACACCGAGGGGCCCCCGGGAGCCTCAGGGAGCGTCCGCTTCTAGAACCTCGGAGGCAGGGTAAGCTTGGCTGGTAACCTGCCGTTTTCCCTTGACATGGGAGTTTAGCAATGAGTTCTGTGTAAGTGAGCGCTTTCAGCTGTTTATGTTTGGGGCTAGGGAGGAGGAGAGAGGGTCAGAGACAAGAGCACACCTTTTCACTGGGTTATTGGGGGTTATTAGGGTTATTAGGGGTGCTCCACCAGCTCTTAACACAGGGCTGGGCTGCGGTAGGCTGTCAAGACATAGTGGCGAGTCAACAGATCCTATTGTGCTAAATCTTGCCTTTGAGTGCTCTGCTTCTTGGTGCCCTTGCAATCTCTTCATCATCTGAGAACTTTGCAAAAGTTTTTTTTTTTTTTTTTTTTTGAGACAGAGCCTCAAGCTGTCCCCCTGGGTA